TCGCAGAGAGACACGGGATTGGCTGAGGCCAGGTGGTCCAACATGTCTGCGCCCTAATCCGACGCCACACCACACTACACAATAAACAAAATTTCAGTAGGTGTAGTATAGTTTAATGTGAGATATTAACCTAACGTTTGCATGACACTTAGACCGTTTAGTATATTCTTATTGTTTTTCGTGTATGGTGTTTAGAGTATATAGAATGGTATGTTAGTTATTAAGGTTTGATTTTACTTCATGTTATGTATCTGTTTGCTTTAAATATCATGGTTTAACTGTTACCAAACCCAAAGATATTTGATAACGTAGGGTAAAAGTTGTTTGTTAATAAGTAGATGTGGTTAAACCAAGTGTATGCATCGTCATGTATGAAAACAACTCCATGGGAGAACTTATTGGTTACATCATAGCTTTAAGCGGTCGAATTGTGGAGGTGTGTTGTCGTTTCTTTTTGTAACAGCCACAGTAAGCACAAACTGGTGCAAAGTGGTTTTCGAACAGTCTGCATTTTTTTGCCATGGAACTACCCCAACAAGTGCTTGCTGGCAATCTTCGAGTAGTGATGGAAGGTGGTGTAATTAAACGTGTAATTAAACCTTGCCAAACTTAGGGATTTGAATACTTTTCAAATTGGTCCTCTAGATTCAATAAAGTTTTCCAGCTCATGTGATCCTTCTTTCTTTGTATTCTACCTGATAGTTATGTTTTTGTGTCTTATCACATTTACTTATGTGGTTCTACTTTGCCACCCATTCAATATGCACGAAGTAGTCCGAAGGTTAGTATACGTCAAAATATGCGGTTAGAATTTTGTCTGCGAGAGTCGAATATAACTGAGAATGACGGCACTTTACTTCAGTAAATTTCTGACCTATCTGGTGCGCACAATCCCGTCGTCGATATCATTTCGGTGCTGCGCATATGTGGAGGCTTCTGTTTTCTTGTGAGATTACGTGATTCCATCAATGTGCCTTCGCCTCAAGTGCAAAATAAGCTTGATAAGCATAAGGTGTCATTTCTGTAAACTTAATAGACATTTTTTTCAATTATTTACAATTGCAATGTCTGGTTCTAATTCGATGTTTAACTTTCAGAGTAAACTTGTGTAATCGTAGTTTTGTGCTTTGTGGTAAGCCAATCTAAGTGCTGAAAGTTCCCTGTTGTTCGGTTTGCGATCTCCGGTGTGGTCTTTAACGTTCTCTCGCGTTTTTTAATTAACCTTCCCTATTTCATCACATTCATTTGCATCCTAAACTCAGCTGATAAAAGATCATGGGTGACTCGAATTGAAGTCGTCAGAATTAAAAGCCTTCAACTTGACTACTGTGTAGTGAACTTCCATCAAATGAACGTGAGTGAATCTTATTCATGAGTCGGTCGAATTCCATCGATTGTCGATTACATTCGCCTGCCAGTATTCACTCACGAACTCGGCCTTAAAAGACTTGTGTGATCCTATGCAGGTGAAGCGCTATGTTCGCTATTATCTGTCTTGCCTTTCTTGGGTTGTCACGGCCTGTTTACTAGTAGGGTTGTAAGGTAGTGCTAACGAAGCCACTGCAACTGATTTGGTAATGCTAACTACAAGAGGTCGTAAAAATTCACTAAATCCTCGAAACGTCTTGCTGACCTTAAACTATTACCATGTGGCATCACACCTTCTCGAATCCAAGCATAAGTGGCGCAGAACATCTGTGGGTTTCGTCTTAACTCTTTCACTTTTCAACCATTACCAGACGTCTTGCCTACACCACAGTTGGCGTTTTGTCGTCATGTTAAGAGATAGTCTATTGTAAAGCTTGACTAACCTCTGAAAAGTACCGTTTTGTCTACATCTTAAAAATTTGTCGTTTGATTTAAACTATGTTCTTCCTATCTATTGAGAACCACATTTTTGCAATTGCGCCAATATTAGTTTAGCAGGATCCATGAGCAGGAAAGTCTGGTTTATTCCTCTTCGCCCAATGTCAGTGCCTGTAAACCATAAGAGAGCTGCCATGTACCAATCGAAAAAACAGTTCACTATAAACTCACCGATGGCTAAAAATGTCTATTTCCCTAATTTCAGATTTCACTGTTCATTATGCTCCGATGTGCAACATTCACTCGCTCTCATCCACTCCTTAGAATGGGCCTTGCATTTGTCCGACGTAGTGTTTCTTCCTTTTTTAAACTACCGAACCGCGAATTTATTGGGATAGAGGGCGCCGGTGCTGCTGAATTCCTGCAGGGTCTCATGACCAATGATATTCGTCTTCTAGATCAGAGCAAATCGTCCATTTACGCCTTCTTTCTCAATACAAAGGTAAGAAAGTCTCCAATTTAAACGCTATGATGACGTTTGCCGTAATTCATAGGAAATTTAAACCCCGAGGTCTAATCTGTTCAGACTTCATAAGCACTGGTGTAAATAGCATTTGACAGTTAAGGACTACCATAATAGTGTTAATAGAAATGGAACACCACGCAGCCGTTTCTCCAATGTTTACGTCAAGCCATAGACGTGTTAGGTGGTGATTTTCATTTGTTCTCTGATCCTGCACACCTTTTTGTGCCTCGCTTTTGTCTGATGCCTGACGTTCCTTATTTGCCAAATTATCTGCTGTGTCTGCCGTCCTCAGAAGAGAAAATAGAGGTGGTAGTGCAACTTTCCATCACGAACGTCTACCTCAACCATAGGCTTCGGAGTCGTAGCGGTATTTCTATTACATTGAATCAACATTTCTTGCGATAATGCTGTCATGCATCTCAAATATCGGGCAATTAATAAAGGGGAATTTCGTCTAGTCTCTATTTGAAATTGCGTCGACAGATCACGATCAGTTCTAACTCTGAAATCTTCAGACGTGTGACAGTCAAACCGTCAAGGAGATTACCGACGTCTTTCATGGTTTTTTTTAGCAAGAAAAGTTGGCTTCTGCTCCCGAATTCAATGACAGTGAAGCAACATGCAATTTGGTCCCCTTACATTGTTATTTTGGAAGCGATTTACAAATTAATTCGACTTAAACATGTGAATGTATTCTCCTACCGCCCCTCTTTTTACCTATTCTCGTATGGGTAGTAGTAAGCAGTTGCTTTCTTAAAGTATCAGGAAGTCAAAACTACAAAACCTACAAAACTGCAAAGCTTTTTCCTTATGATTTTTTGAGTAGCCTTGTCTTATCAGGGCTTTATTTCCTAGGTACTGCGTCTACACAATGATTTCTTGTAATTTAAGGGTCGTGTGGTCTGCGATACTCTCGTTTACAACATCACCCACAAGGACGCTGTTGTGCCCCACTTTTTGATCGAGTGTGATGATAAAAGCAAGCCGAATCTGCTCAAGATGTTGAATTTTTATAACATCAGGAAGAAGGTAGGTCGAATCTTGCAACCAGCGACCCAGTCTTCTAGGTACGCATTTCGGAGGAGACGCCGGGTGTGGACGCATTTGTGTGCGTATGTGAACACGAAAAAGATACAAGTGTTGTGGATACTGATGATGTCCTTTTCAATGGAGCCGACCCGCGAGCTTTTCGCCGATGGTGCTGGAGAATCCTTTTAAAGTCTTGCGCAACAGGTACTTTTGCTACTTTTTTCCTCAAAGCACCTCCCATTGAATATTTACTATTTGTGTAGCACCTCGCTTGCTGAAAGTCCACTATAAGGAACCATCCTTGCATCGCGGAATCGCTTCTTTTTCTCAAGCGTGAGTCGAAATCCACACGGAGTTAAAGGTGTGGGGCTAAGTTTATGTGGGACTTAAATTCAACATTGTGAAAAAAAAGCTGTCATGGAAATCTGAAAGCAGAGGCAAATCTTCCAGTACCTGAAATTGGTTGGCCGGAATCGTCAGGCTATTGTGTGGTGTTTTAAAGTGACATGATGCGAAAATGGTCACGATTGTTGGCAAGTAATTGTGAACTATGAAGTAGGGAAGTGTAATTTCAGAGAATGATTGCACGGATAGTGCCATTCCGTGCAGATTCCACCGCTGATGGGTTGATAACTTTAACCTGTAAATCACCGCTGCGGTTGTTCTTCGAACGGTTCGTTTTCTAGGCGACATTCCTTTCGAAATTGGCAGTCAGGAGAGCTTGCTTCCAATTTACACTCGAGCTCGTTATCGTCTCGCGTTGCCGGAAGGGGCGGATGAGCTTAAAGCTTGTAATGGCTTCCCCCTTGAGGCCAATGCCGACCTCTGTAACGGTGTGAGCTTCTCTAAGGGCTGCTACATCGGCCAAGAGCTGACTGCTCGGTCTCATTTTGTTGGGGTTATCCGACGGCGCATCGCCCCCATCCTCTTTGAGTCACCAGTTGATCCAAAAATGTAAGATTTTGTGGTCCATTTGTTTAATTCTTTCTCGGTGACTGGTGCCTATATTGTATTTCTGAATTTCCGAGTGAGCTGGTTGAAAATATACTAACGTAAACTTGTGCAGTATATAGTCGCGATTTTAGGACTCCATTCGCATAATACCGACGCTCAGCGAACCGTAGTGATTGCCTTGAACTAACCGCTGCGTCTTTTACACATGTTTCGCGCAATATGTTAAATGATTTATTAAACTGATTCATAAATTGTACACATGCGTGAATCCTGCTTCGTTTCCAATCCCTGGCAGACGTAAATCCTTATACTGAGTTTTCTGATGACCAAGACACCGTTAGTAAAGAATGATTTTTCATGCCTTTTTCCTGGGTCCATAATGCTAACTAGCAAAAAATATAAATTTTGGAGACTACGGTTTCTCATTTTAGAATGCTTCGTGATTCGCCAATTTACAGGATTGAGAAAGAGAGCAATAAGGTCGTTGGCCAACGTCCAGTTGGTTGGGTCCGCGCCATCGAGGCTCTGCCATTGCCACCAACTCTGTCCCAGACACAACACGGTCTTGCCCTTCTCCGATTGGCTGAATGTGCTTCAGCTGTAGCCTGTGGGGATCGTCTCTGGGTAGATACCTCAGGATCTTCGCATGTCCCGGTAACTGCGCCATCAAACTGTGATGTCATTGTAAAACCTTTTGTTCCCTCCTGGTGGCCACAGGAGTCAAAATCCAACCTACCGACTATTGACCCTTACCAATAATCGTGGTTGTGTATATTTTTTTCATAGACTTGTATTTCTTCAAAGTTAGCTTCTATGCGTCATCAAGTATTTGTTAGGGAGAAAACATTCTGATGAGACCTACATGTCAATTCCAAATTTTGGATTTATTATCAAAGTGACATTGAAGTGGTTAGTTCGACACTAATCTAGGCAACTTGAACTATTAGCTGTTTTAGGAATACGTGAACTGTTAACATTAAAATAAAATATGCATACCGAAATCTCAACCACAGAGGTGCAGCTCTGAGATTTAATGCGAAGTCAACGTTGATGAATCAACACCTTGTGATCGGTTCGAATGAATGAGCTGGATCAAATGGGAGGAGGAGACTGCTACAGCAGCCAGTGGGCGTCTAAGACACACACAGATGCATTTTTTTAGCAAAATGGCAAGGTTCGGGTACACTACCTTCTGAAGGTGTTTGAGCGTGCATTTTGATGAAACAATCACCTGCAAAGAGGCATCGTTTGACTGGAGAATGTTGAATTGCATATCGATTGTTACGTGATGGAATTACTAGGTTACTCAAAACGACAAAGATCAAATATGGGAAACTATGCAATGACTGCATAGGTGGTTCAGTGCTTCTTTTGGAAATTTCTATTTAGTACGCTAGTGCTGATTATGCAGTATCTATGCGCTTTCTGGCCGTTTGCGAAGTGGTTCTATTGATTGGGTTGGCAGAGCGGATCTTTGATTAATCGAAAAAACCTTATGTGTGAAAGTGCATATTTGGTAATTCTAAATTTGACGAATTGTAGAGAAAACAGGCAAACGTTTTTTGATAATATTCTGAATTTTTGAGAGGAGCCTGCTACCAGGAACTTGCTTCGATAGTAATTTTTCCGAACTATGGTCCAGGATTCCTGTATATACCACTGAAATTTTAAATATTAGCAGCTGCAAATGCCACCATGATATATCTTGCACTTAGACACATAAAATTTCGTTCTAGATTCATCCCGTTTCTTAACCTTTTTCCTCCATGAACGCCACCTACATAATTGACAATAGGGGAGGGAAGTCAAGACAATGCGACTCTTGATGGTTATTGTTATGATGTGTGTTGCATATGATAACAGGAATAGGTTGACTAACTGTCCTATTTGTTTCATATAACTTGCATGACTTCGAGTGTGTGTAATCGACGGTACATTTCAAAGGTTCGTGAGCAGTTCCTGTCTATATGCGTAGACGTTTAATAATTGTATGCAGCTAAAATGGATTATCAATATTTCAAATAAGTTGTTCCAAAGATTTATGAGCGTTGACAAAAATAGTACTGCCTGGGTATTGTTCACCTCAGCGACGTTAAGAGCTCGAAAATAGCTCAAGAAATATTTACTAAAGTCCATTTGGACAAAACGAGAACGTAGTAAAAAAGAGTAGGTTCATAATGATTTTAAAGATGTAGCTTTCGCTGATTACAAAACTTAGCAGGGTGCTTTATAAAAAAAAATTTATTTGGAAGTAAAGGTCGCTAAAATTATACATTAAATTGAATTTACCTTCGGTTTGAAAAGTACAAAATTCCAAAACAAAATTCCCGATTTTTCGTACACATTTTGATTGGATTTCAAAACTGCAACAATTTAAAAAAGAATTGTTGCTTCTGCCAAATGTCATTGACGTGGCCATCAATATCAACCGGCTAAATTTATTATAATATTGAAAACATAAGACACGGAAAACCTTAAAGAAATTGACGATTATAACAGATGTACTTAAAGCATAAAATCGTCATTTAAAAAATATAACAAAATCTGATAACTGCGAGTATAAGTTTTGCTGATGACTGTAGGAACTTTGCAATCAAAATGCATTCTGTTGTTTTACTTATTTAAATCGGTATGCGGTCTGCTTAGATAGTTTCTCGATGTTATCTGCTTTGGCACTGAGACGGCTTGTGGTTATTCGGGGCAGTATTTGGACAGCACCACTTGGCTGTTATCATTCTACAATAGTCTATTCCTACCCTTTGAGCTTTACAAAGCCCCTAGTTACTCCTAGCTATTTGCCATTTACGGTAACAGATCGCTCAAATGTATTCGAATTTCACCAACCAGATGTTCTCTCGAACCAGAATCGTTTTCTTAGCGTTAAGGCACGAAAACCGGAACCCGATGCACCGTTGGCAAATGAGCCCGCCATCAAACCCCCGCAAAAGCTGACTTTATTGCAGCGATTTAAAGATGCTTATAAGGTGTACGGAAAGGTTTTAATCGTTGTCCATGGTGTCACCTCGGCCGCCTGGCTCGGCGTTTTCTACCTAATTGCTTTTAGGTAAGCACGCTGTTTTTTGTTGTGACTGATACGCTACTTTAAGTGCATGGAATCCTTTTTTCTGAACATAGTGTCACTTTAACATTTACTGGCAGGTCGTAGTAAAATTCCATTCGGAGGTGTGTAAAGTCGTCTGGCTGATATTCATTCTAGTCGATTCTGAAATTTTATTGCCAGGATTCTAGTGATTATTTTCGCCAAATCTAAAATATAATGGCACTTTTGTCTTTTTCCATGTTGCAGCAGTACTCACTATGATATGTGGCTACCTTCAATTTGCCTTTAGTGGGGTCAATATCGCAGATGCCTTAAAGGCTCTTAACGCACCTGAGTGGGTGTTAAGGCCCTTCGTTTCACACAGCTTGGGCATTTGGGCCACTGCGCTGATCCTTTACAAGCTCGCAACACCATTCCGCTACTTTGCAACCCTAGGACTGACCCGTAGTGTCGTTCAAAGGCTCCGAAATCGCGGTATTATTCCCCCAATCGCTGAGGAAGACCGACTTAGGAATTTGGCTCGCCAGGGAGTTCACCTGTCGCGGGTTCGGTTTCAGCAATCACGAGAACGATTGCGCAACCAAATTCAAGTTTCGAAATTTCGTCGAAACCGTCCAAAAAAGCCACAACATTAGATGCATTATGCACTACCTTCCTTTGTGTAACTTATTATTCATTCAAATCAAACTTGGTTTTTATATTTGTGGCTGGTAGACAGTTTTCCGAAAACTGAAGCACAAGAAATCATGGCTTTGTGTTGGCTCTCGAGGTGCTTCGTCAAATCTCATCTTTTACGTTTGTCTTCGTGTTGGGGTAATAAATGTTTAGAAAATTTGCATAGATAGGCTTTAATAATGGCAACGACAGCCTGGAATCAGGGTCGATGAGGCGTCATACTATGTGGCACCCCATGGGTTTTTGTGGTTTCAGAATCAATCAGCAATTATTATTATTATTAATTTGATGCTTGGCAACGTGGGTCTCACTACGCGTGGGTGTAGACGCACGTCTCTCGGTCATAGCTAAATGGGATAATACTGTGGACAGATAGTGGGAGCCGAAGCAGCGGTCGCGAGCCTGAAATACTGAAAGTTCGTCAACCGAAATTTGGGTCAGGAAGTAACGTAGACCGTATCAGCCCAGCTCTACTGATCATAAAGATATCTGAGGCTCCGACATCACTATGTTGCTTTATTTAAGCTTTAACTAATGTTTATTTGTTTCCCTAAGACCGGGGTCTAATGTTGGTGAAGAAATGTAGCACCACGGCCATTTGCGATGTTAGTCTAATAATTCGAACTGCGTGTGGTAAAATAATAACACTGGTAACGCGAAATGTAAGATTTCGCAGCTAATGTTTACTTTATTACGCACAGCCTGGGAGGTGCTCGTTCATGAACTTTAGGCAAGGCGCGACCCTCATCCTAGATCAGTATGGAAAGCTCTTTTGCCATGATCACTATATCACGAAAACACCAAATTTGGTTTATTGGGACTCAGATGCAATTGCCAGGGCATGATGAGGTAGAAATTTTGAGAGAACGAGAACATTTACAGATCCGTTTTTCCCATTCTTAGCGGTTTGAATGTTGCCGAACTCCTACAGAACCTTCATGTACCAGACTGGGTTTTGAAACCATTCAACGCTGCTGGTGGTTCTGTCGGACTGTTCGCTTCGGCTTACATACTATATAAGGTCGCAGCACCCATTCGGTACGGTCTCACTCTCTGGCTGACTCCCATCATTGTGCACCGTCTTCGCGCCGCTGGTAGGCTGCCCCCACTCGCAGAGAGTGACCGACTGCGCAACCTTGTCCGTGAGGGGGTCACTGAAACTAAAATCAAGCTACGTAGGACGAGACGCTCCTGGAAGTCGAAACGACCAGTCAAGATTTTTCGAAGTAAATAGGTTTATTCGTATTTAATTTCAAATCGTACCAAAGACTTTCGAGTCACGACATTGTAAAGCAAATCTCTTGTAGATGGACAGGAGAGCAATCATTTATTTTTAATAAAACACACAAAGCCTTTTACCCACAATACAAATTATTATTTCCAGTTATGTATCTCCTATATCCCTTAATCACAAAACGGTACGGATAATGTAACGTTAAACGAAAGCACCAATAAATCTAGTGTCAATTTTGACTCACAATCCTATGACATCGCAGGTTTGGTAATGATGATATCAATATCCGCACTTATAAGAAAAAGTACCGGATGTGTAGAAATATGTCGACATCTTGTCGTTTTCAACCACACCCAAGGTTTAAGGTCGGTTTCATGCGCGACCTCTAGCCTAAGGTCTACTAAGTGTATGTATTGTATTTTCGTTCACTACAATGGCACATGACCTAAACGAGGAAATGAAACGTAAACAAAGCCTTAATGATGATATAATATGAACAACTTCTTCCCTGACACTGCAAAACTTCAAAATATCTGGCTTCCGGTTTACCAAGGGGTTCTATTTCATCTGGCCCCAAACTTTTCTTGGCTTGAGAGAGACATTAGAGGAGACACTTTCTTCTTTCAGGCGTGAGTGATCCGGTTTTGCGAAAAATTTTCCACTTCAATTTCGGCATGTCACTCACGTCAAATTACAATAAGATTATATGGATCTCAGTGAAATTGCAAAAGGCGGCTGACACCACAAGTTGGGCTTTATTGTCAATGTCAGAGAGACAGATAGTGCACAAATGAGGGGGTAAATGGGGGTGGGAGTCGGTGATCGGGCGATGACTTTCTGCGGGCAGCTATACACTCGCGACCAAGCGAAGCTGAAATTATATGATTCGCAATGAGAACTTCTACCAGTTACCGTACTTGTGCTAAGAGTGCTAGAACGCCTACTTCGTAATACAACCAAAGGTCGCATTATTTAAACCTTGACAGCACATTACAAGTGCTTACTTGTTATACCCATAAACACAGATGCTTAACTGGTGTTAATAACGTAGGCCAATCCAGGGAGTCAGACGAAAATTTACGCAAAGAAAAGCCATTAATCGAGGGCATAAGATATGGCCCGATCATAAATGCATGTTTTATTGCAACCATCTTCATTAGCTGGTAGCGGAGAGCTTTCGTCTACAAAATAGCCGGAAACTATTAGTTCATTTTAAAGTTAAAAGTGGCTTGATCGTGTCAGTGTTTCGTTACTCCACAGCCCAGGCGCTGACCAACATAGAGTGATACCTGTTCTGCTTTTTTTAACATCCATAGGAAAATCTTGTTCCATTTGTTTGTATTTTTTATTAGAAATTCAGGTAAATCTAGGCCGCTTTTTATGCAAATCCGATGATCAAGGCTTTGCTTGGTAGGCAATTCAAACAATTTGGATAAAACATCCAGAAGAAGTAGGGAAATACTCAACTCGAAACAAAATCAAATGCGACATCAAAGCTAAAAACCGTCTGGAAAGTTGTGCTTAAACGAATACAGAGGAAGTGTAGATTATTCGAAACACGTGAAAGCATCGACATATCATGGGGTTTTCACATCACAAATGCTAAGCAAGTGACACCTGTAAAGTGAAATTATTAGAACGCTTGAAAATTGGAGAGTATGGAGAGGTGGTTGACTGGTCTTACTTGACACGTGATCAACATTAGGGGAAAACATCTGGCGCAAAGAGTTTGGTGGAATAGTAGAAAAATGACGAGCTCATTTAACATATAATCGTAAATAGGTGATAAAAACAGTTCAATGGTGATAGGTAACGAAAAAAGAAGGCAAGCTGCAAGTTTATCGGCCGCAAACAATTCTAAACAAAAACTACACAAGGACGATATCCGGCTCGATGTTAATTCTTCTTGAATAGGATGAAGAAAAACAATGCTAAAACCAAAATTAATTTATTCCACAGTAGAGACAGAGATCCATTCACCACAAATTGGCAGTGTTTACAGCCAAAGTTACAGCAAGAATCAGGAACGATCAAACTCAATAGGTGTCAATTTTAAAATCTTTTACAAGGTATTTACAACAGTCATACCAACTACTTCTTCTTGTAAGCCATTTTATTACTCCATTGGTTCCTGTTTCCAGCAAATTCACCCTTGTAGTGAGGGTGTGTGCCGAATGCAGCCGCGTTGTCACCATCGTCGTCACCATCCTCCCCTTCTGAAGAAGGTGGCATGTCAGAATCGGAATCACTATCATCTAGATCATCACCCGGAAGGTCGGCATCAGCGAGGAATTCTATATCATTATTTTCGTCCAAGTGCACAGTGTCTGGTATCTCACCTGACAGCGAAAATATACAAAATAGTAGAATACACATTTAAGCAAAACTAAGGGCTACATAAACACTAGGAAGCGAAACAATGAACCAAAGAAAAACAGAATGGGGAAATAAAAGTTAGTCCTGTCTGGATCTTTCAAGACAGAAACTACAGGTAGAATGGTGTTAAATTTACATGGAACTATTTTAAACCATGAACAAGCGAAAAAAATAAGTAAGTTTGCAGGAATAATCCTAACAAGTAGATAGCTTGTAAAGCCAGATAAAGCGATCTGGGAGTTTATTGAAAATTAATGAATTCCCAAACAGCTTCCCAAATATGAAGCATTACAAATTTAAAAAAATAGACAAGAGAAGAGACTGGACACCCTTACCCATTGATTTAAGTGTTCGGGCTTCATCATTAAGGTATTTGAGTATGACATCGGCCTTTTGGTCTTGATAATCCCGAAGACTGACCAAGATGATGTCCCCTACATTAATCCACACCTTGAAGAAAATAAAATGCAGCGTTTAACCACAAGCTCACAATTAAACGATGTAATTTTCGCAAAAACATAAATAAAATATACAATAACACCATTACGAAAAGCATCTTGCTTTCAACTTAGAAGGAACAAGGTAGGCTTGGCTTCTGATAATAATTAGCAATTCGTGAAATGGCTATTCCTATATTTAATGCAAAAGTTATAGTTTTTTGTAATATTCTTTGAGAGAATAGAGGTGATATCCTTATTCAGTCTAGGTACATGCAACAACCGGAAAACCCCAATTTGAATCTTGAAAAGAAAAACAATCAACAATCTAATAATAAAAATAACGACGGTTATATCAAATGCCAGAAAGGAATCTAAGCTTAAAATACAATTCCGGATGGCTAATGCAAAAATACCAACCTTCTTGCGCATTTTACCGCGAATGTGACAAAGCCTTTTAACTCCATCAAAACAGTAGGCCTCGAGACGACCGTTGCCGAGAAGACGTTCAACCTTCGCGTATTCTACAAAACAGGAACAAGCAATTTAGGGTAAAATTTAATTCCAAACTGGCTGTAGATTAATCAATCACATGGCAAATTTGGTGACATCAAAAACCATTAAGCAACAGAAAGTTGTAGGGTTAGTCGCCAGGTGTCAGGCCACCAATAGTCAGGAAAAACCTTATAACATCAGTAACTACTTCTTTATTTAATGCTCAAAACCAAAATGAAATTAACATACGCTGGCCTTCCTCTCTGTATATTAAGAGACGCTTCTGGTTTTCGTTTTCATTCTTTCCACGACGCCGATTTTTACCTCCCTTACCTACAAGCAAGTAAAGTTAAGGGATTGAAAAAGTAACATTACCCTTGTTCTTCGGCATATTTTAAACCACTCTTGCAAAAGTGTAATGCAACGCGCGAGCAGCAATACCAAATAAACGTCCCTCTGTGGAACTCATAGTTTAAAACAATCCGATAAACGTCGTACGAACAGTTCAAGTCTAAGAATTACCCATATAAAATATTTCAAAAAAAGACGCCATATTTTTTTGTTTTCTGATCACGATTAAAAAGTACTACATTAAAGTAAATTTTTGAAGATCGATACCAAAAAAGAAAAAAAGTCCTGATTTTTCTTAAGCAATTTTACCCGCAAAAACCTTCGGATTAACAATGAAATCAAACTTTTTATAATCCAAAAAAATATTTGCAAAAAATATGCATGAATTGAGAGTTACCAAAACATTTGCCACAGGTAAATCAATTTTTTTCAGATATTACATGTAAGAAAATTTACAAATTCTCCATTTCGTTTGTTAAAATGCTCTTTCTAGTTTTTTCATAACCTTTTTTGCACATGCAACAATTGCAGGCGGAGAGTTCACAAAATTGCGCCAGATTTTTTAATCACAAAATCAAATTCTTGTGCAGAATTTGAAGATAGAAGTAACAAAGTTTCCTTTGAAAATGTTGCTGGGTTATATGCTGGGGACGCATTTATTGGATGGCTGTTACAATAAATTTGAATGATTAATTTTACGTATAGTAGACATTCAACTAAAGAAAATGGTAGACTCCACGAAGGTAGCTAGCACTAATTGAAGAATGCTTATCCTGTTTTTGATTTACTTGCCACTGTTTTTTTTTATTTGTGTTTTTCCTAGTTTTCGATTACTACTTGAGTAACACTGCTGTCAAATATTATTATTGTATTGAATTTTATGGGGCAATGTGAATACTTTTTTTTATTATTTCGATCGGTCTTTTATGTGTGTTGAGAAAAAAATTTGGCTTTAAAGTTATCAAGTAAACAGAAAAAGTTATGCTACCATCTTTTGAGGTGAATTTTTATTCGACTGTTGAGTATGCAACAAAGAACATCACTATTTCTCATCGCAATTTAAATTTTTGGCGCTAAAACTGAAACCAATAGTTTTGTTAAAAGCGCTTTAAACAAAAAATTACGATTGCCGCTATTAATAAAGCATTGTTAATTATTCATAATAATCAAACGGAAAAATATGTATTGAATATCGCGAAACGTTATTTGAAGGAAGTTAAATTTACCATTATATCAGAAACCAGTAGTAGTAGTTAAAGTAGAATGCACATTAATTTAGAGATTGCTTA